AGATCTTTTCTTCAAGGGTTAAGTTTCTTTCACTTAAGAAATTTGATATAGGTTGGTTTTAAAAAATGTTTTTCTTTCCTTATCTTCACCCCAAACTCCATCTATTGCCAAAGTACTGCACAAATAAATGATCTAGTCTTTCCTAGCTCTTTCTTTTCTTTTCTGAATCTCCTATCATTCTGATTATTAAATTTAAGAAGAAGAAGAAGAGGAAACTACTTCTTAGTTGGCATTTTTTATATATGCCAGATTAATCTGCTTTATTTTAAACATATGAGCTAGGAAAAAAAATCAGGCAAGTACAAGAAAAAATCTGTCTAGTAGTGGAAGTGCTCTGCCTGGGTTCAAAGCAGGAAAAGCAATAATGTATCTCACTTCCCTATCTTGTGTATCTTTCTCTAGTGATGGAGGATTCAGGCATCCAGCGGGGCATCTGGGATGGAGATGCCAAGGCTGTCCAACAATGTCTGACAGATATTTTTACCAGCGTTTATACAACCTGCGACATCCCTGAGAATGCTATATTCGGTCCCTGTGTTCTGAGCCATACTTCCCTGTATGACAGCATAGCTTTCATAGCTCTCAAGTCCACTGATAAGAGAACAGTACCTTATATCTTTCGGGTAAGTCTCCATTGGTACTGTGTAGGTGTATGAGGATAAAGTCCTATTGAAAATGGATTCTTAGTCATTTTAATGACAAGTAGAGACAGGTTTTAAATGTAGAAAATGCAATAATGCAAGCAATATTGGTTTACACACCTAAAATTAGAGAAGAAAAATTAAACTCAAATTGTTGTCAACTGCTTTTCTGGAATACATGACAAAATTTGATAGGGAATGCTAGAAATGTCTGAATCAGTATCTCAGTTCTGGGTTTTCCTCTTGATGAATGTGACTTCCTAAACTCTCTGGGAGATTTCACTGGGACTGAAGCTATTTGCATACTAAGTACTTTCTGTGAGTACTTTTACTTTCCAACCTAGGAGGCCTCCCCATCTCTTAAGTATTACATTCTTTTGATAACATTAGCTAGTGACCAGAGTTTGTATTTAGGTAAAAATGTTAATTGTTTTGACAGCATAGCATCAGTCCATATGTTTGAATTTGATCAGGCCTCTCACTTCCTATTCTGCCTTTACAAAGAAAAGCCATTAATTGTCCATGCCAAAATTAGGAAGATGAGTGCCACAGAATAATTTCTAAGATCTAAGTTTGCCTTTTACTTCCCCAAACAAAATTCTCCAGATTTTAGTAATGTAAGATAATTTGGAAATAAATTCTGAAGAGAGGAACACTAATTCATATTGTAAAAAGGAATTTCCTCATCTAGTATTCAACCAATATGTGGAAATGATCACTTAAATAATCTATATGATTGATGTAAAATTTCAAAGGATGGTTTTCCTGTCTACTGGTTAAAAACATAGGCATGTATTCCAACTTAGTCAAGTTTTGGAAGCTTGGTCTCAGATGATTCTTTGGAAAAGACATAGGAAATTATCCTAGTTTCTCTGGTTTCTTTCTCTTATTGGGTATCCTTCTCCCCTCCCTCTTGTCTTCTTTCTTCTATTTTGAACTGTAGGTAGACACTTCAGCGGCAAATGGTTCCTCAGAAGGTCTCATGTGGCTGCGGCTGGTCCAATCAGCCAGAGATAAAGAAGAACAGAACCTTGAAGCCTATATAAAAAACGGACAGCTGTTTTACCGCTCTCTCCGCAGGATTGCCAAAGATGAGGAATTACTAGTTTGGTACGGGAAAGAACTGACTGAGTTACTCTTACTCTGCCCCTCTAGATCCCACAACAAAATGAATGGTAGGTTGGTTTTGCGACCTGCATGAGGGCCCCTCGCTAGCTGGGGAGAGGTGCTGGGAACAGCGGGGTCTCACCCGGGCGCCTTGGTGCGCCCTTTCTACCTTTGCGACTCTTACCGGGAGCTTCTGAGGGGTAGTACAGAATGAAACTGGGACAGACAGGCGAGGATAGGTAGGGGCACACGTGTTTGATTACTGTACTCCCCCAAATCAGGAGGCAAAGTTAGATAAGGTTCAGATGGTGTATTCTTTTTCTCGGGCACTCAGACCCTGAAAGATAAAAGTGGATTTGTGAAGGGGATGATGGCAAAGTGGCCTGCGAGAGATGCTGAGTAATCATGTGCTGTGCGTGTGTGGTGTTTGCTCACTAAGCAGGGTCGTCCCCTTACACATGCCTGGAATGCAGCCAACG